AACTTTTGTAAGTTGAGGACTTACCTGTATATACCTTTGGATTAAGGAAGAACGTTGGGGAATGCTATCTGATATAAGGAGTAGATACATGTCCAGCACCTTGCCAGTCATTGCCTTGTATAGTCTATTTGCATTTTGTCTGAAGAGAAATTAGTGTTCAAATAGCAAAAAGCAACAAACCTGACAAGTATCTGCTCTTGTTCTCTGAAGACTTCCAGCACAAAACATGCTTTCTGCCACTCTGCTATTATACGCATTTGGTGCATTACACTGCCTTTGGGAAATCAGTTTTACTTTGGCATCTAATAGTTGATGAGATGATTCACCTATAGAATGAAGGCCAGAAATACAAAAACACTCTTTATTTCCCATCTTCAGATTTGTGGCTAGGCCCAAAAAACAACTGATAAAAATACTGAATTTAATTAATGTTAGAGAAGAAAGAAAGAAAGAAAGAAAGAGAGAGAGAGAGAAAAAGAAAGAAAGAAAGAAAGAAAGAAAGAAAGAAAGAAAGAGAAAGATGCATATACAGGTAGTCCTATATATGCATTTTATTTAGTGATTGTTCAAAGTTACAACGGCACTGAAAAATAGTGACTTAGTTTTTCCCAGTTACAACTTTGCAGCTTCCCCATGATCATGTGACCAAAATTCAGATGCTTGGCAGCTGGTTCATATTTATGCCCGTTGAAGTGTCCCAAGGTCATGTGATCACCTTTTGTGACCTTCAGACAAGCAAAGTCAATGGGGAAGTCAGATTCACTTAGCAACTGGGTTACTCAAAATCTAATATGGCTTTGCTTAACATTTTAAAAGCATAGTTATTGTATTTGAAGTGATATATTTTATTAGGTCAATAAGACATTAAAATTTTTAGCCAGTTAAACTTCGGAGATAAAAAAAATAGGACAAATTAAGTCAAATGATATTGATTCATTACATCAATAATTGTCAGGCATGTACAGAATTGTGCTTTTCTTTGGGCGCTAATAATGTTCTTGTGCTAAGATTATATGTCATCTATACCCATATTCAGTTCTATACCCGACAGTCCATTAATGACTCAAAAGTAGACATTAGTCTAGTACTGAACTTGTTTTTGTGAACTTTTGCTGATACTAATAAACCTGTCCTCATCCAGAAGTCAAGAGAAGACATGAAAGAGCCAGTTTCCATTATGCTGCATACATATGTGATGAACTGGAAACCCTCTTCTATCTTCTCCTGACCCCCAGGACTCCCTAGGCTGGAGTTGCAGGCAGGTATAGCACAATTGTCATCATACAAGTGGCAGCATCTCAGCAAAACCTGATGGATCTAGTGAACCCTTGGCAGCAGTGGGAGAAGGCAGGAAAGAAAGTTGGGAGAAGATGGAAAACACCAGATTGCAGCACACCAGGTGGCTACTGGACAACATCAAAGCAGCTTTCTGGAACTTCAAGTGACTGCAGTTATTTTGGAGCTTATAGATGAAAATGCAGAGGGAGCTTTCATTCATAGAGAATATCATTGTGGAGTAATTTGTGCAGAGCTAACAAATCTCAGTTCAAATCCTGTCCGTATATTAGACTCAATTGCTCCCATTGCCATGGCTTACTTGTTTCTGTTTCTCCCCAGCCTGATATGTAACATTCTGTGTTATCAGGGAACGTAAAATCAGGTAAGCACACTGATTTAACATAACTTGTTTCCACAGCACAGTGCCCATCAATTGGCTTTAATTTCAGCAAAGCTGTAAAAAAGAGAACAAAACACAGTATTTTAAGGCACAGTTAATTATATGACCAGTGAATTGCACCATGGCCTTAAATTTGCTGACGAGATTTCTTCTAATTTCACTAGGTCAGAGCTGAGCATTTGTTAATTTTTTCTAGATCTTTCCAATCTATTTCATTAAAGTGGTTTTTATATGCTTAAATTAACAAAGTGATCTCTAGACTTAACTTCTAACTTTGGTTTAAAAATAAAACAGTAAAAGCAATAAATATATTTATACTAAACTTCTGTATGTAAGTAGTGAATGAGATAATAGAGGCAACAGTCTAGTAGGACATAAACTTTTACAAGAAGGATAGAAACTTTTACAAGAAAAAAGCTAGCAGAAAATGGACATGGAAGAGTCCATCTGGGTACACAAGAGAAATTGACTACATCATGTCAAGTGATAAAACCATATTCTGCAATTGTACCATCATCAATTGTTCTAGCATTGGAAGTGACATAGAATTGAACACGCTAAAGTGAAGATAGACTGTCAAAAAGAGTGTATGAAAATGATAAAGACGTTATGAAAAACAAAAATAAAGAAAAACAAAAATAAATAAATGATTTTGAGATTAATCTATCAAATCACTTTGCTCTATTGCAAGATTTGGAAGAGAGGAACATTATGGACCAAAATGAACAAATAGTCAAAAACATCCTTGAATCTGCTACATCTATAGCACTGCCAGAAAAACATTTTATACAGTCAAAAATCTTTTATGAAACTATTGATTTAATAAAGAAAAGATGGACGATGAAGAATATCAGAATTTTCACTAATAAATTGGAGTACGTTGAATTTTGTAAGACCATAAGAAATGTATCCAAGAAGAAATGAGTCAGTTTAGTATGAAGCCTGTGAAAAAGACAATAGTACACAAAGGGACTAATAGAGCAAAATGCAAGCTTATAAATACAAGAAAGAAGGTTTTTGCATTAAACCATGAAAATGGCTCTGTGTGTAGAACAAGACAGGAAATGTTAGAAATAATTGTAAAATTCTACTCAAAGGTATACAAAGAACAAGATCACTCAAAGGTAATCACACCCACAAAAGAGGAAATGCCAGATATCTTAGTGGAGAAAGTATTAAACGCCATAAAATAAATGAAAAATGCCAAAACTTCAGGAAATGACTATGTTAAGGTTGAAATGCTGAAAGCTGGTGGTCACAGTTTATGCAAGATATTCGCAAACTATATTTGAGATACCTCAGAGAAGAAAAAATACCAGATGCATGGAAAAATATTTGTTCATATCCAGATTGTTCAGCAAGTCATTGAAAGGCACAACACATACACCATGCCTCTGTGCATGGCTTTCATTGACTATGATAAGGTGTTTGACTCAGTATTACAGCAAGCAATAACTAAGGCATTGTTCAACCAAGGCACAGACTGCTTACATAAACCTACTACAATAAATATATGAGAAAACAATGGTGACAATTTGCCTTAATGATCTTAAAGTGGAAATCAACATAGAACAAGGTGTTCAATAAAGTGATACAATATCACCTACCTTTTTCTCAGCCTGCCTTGAAGAAGTATTTCACAAACTAGACTGGGCAAATTATGGAATAAAAATCAATGGCACTTATATAAATCACTTAAGATTTGAAGATGATTTTGTTCTCTTCTCACAAAACCCAGAAGAGCTACAAAGACACATACAAGAGCTGCACATAGCAGGAGAACCATTTGGCTTAAACATAAACCTGAAAAAGAGCCAGGTTATGTTTAATAAATTCACCAAAGAAAGAAAAAAATCATATCTGTAGAAGAACTAGACCTAGTAGATCACCTTGGCCAATGAATCTCAATAGTAGGTGATATAATAAAGGAAAGTGAACAGCATGCTAAAGGTGGTTGGAAGGCATTCGGCAAGTTAAGCACAATTTTCAAGTGGTGCCATAAAAAAATACATGCTTGGCATTACAAGACAAGATAGAAAGACCTGCACATGGATCAGAGAACAAACAAAAGTAAACAAGTAAAGAAAGTAAAAGAGAGTAAAAGAATTGCAATGGAAATGGGCTGATCTCATAGCAAGAAAAACTGATGGCAGGTAGACCAAGGCAGTCATAGAATGGATCCCACTTGATAAAAAGCATCCATGAAAGAGACCTAAAACAAGATGGATCGACAACATCGGCAAGTATTGCTGGCCCAGTTGGCAAAAGAAAGCTCAGGACCATATTGGTTGGAAGAGGCCTTCATCCTGCAGTGGATAGAAAATGGCTAAAATGATGATGATGATGATGATGATGATGATGATGATGATGATGATGATACTTAATAAACATAACATATTATTTTCTATACTTTTGGAGATGAATTTGCTAGCTCTCTTAATTGTAACTTAATTGCATTATAATTTAATGTTTTTTTCTCAATATTTAACCTGCATAAGTGTTCTTACAGTTCAGCCAAAGTTTCCTTCTTTGGTTCCTAGTGATAATGATTGGGGTTTATCCATGACACAAAATAGGAACTTACCAATATCATTGTATGGGATGCCATCTTGTTCTGTATAGTGTCCATGTTTAATGATCTTGTCTACATCAAACTTCTGTTCATGAGCCTCTTTCCTATTGAGATTCTGTTCTCCAAGGGACACCTGGAGGTTGTGTGCTTCTGTTCTATGAAAGAAAACAGAACAGTCAGTCTCAAAGAACAGTCAGTCATAATTATAGATCTGTGGGACACTTAATAAGTTATAGAGAACTGCACCAATTTCATCTGAATTCATCATCATACAAATTGTTTCTAATAGATTAACCCATACTAAGAAGAGCGTATCCTCCGATAGAATAGCAAAACCATTATAAAATATAGGTCTATACATTGCCAAGTTATAAAGTAATAGAGTTTAAAGGTAAGACTAGACCAAGCATATTATCCCAGTAGCAAAATACAAAGTGGTGTCTTCCTGAATTTTATATAGCTGACATGAATGGTGAGATACAATTCTATATAAAAGAAATAAGGCCACGTGTTAACATTCTGAGATGAAAAGACATGGCACAATCCTATTTATTCTCCAACTTGACATGGCTATTTTCCCCAACTGATTTCTTCTACCTAAAACTGTGCACTTCAGAGTCTTTTACAGGATGGATGGAACCAAACAGGTTTGTTTTTTCTTTGCATTTGTAGAAAATGAAAAATAAATTCACTGAATCTGTCAAGTATGCTTACGTGATACAGTGTGCTGCAGTAAGAACCCAGCATGGCTCAATCAATACTCCTCCACAATAATGTTCCTTTGCCACACGCGCTGAAATCTTCCTCTGAAGAGAAGCTTGCCATGGATGCTTGCCAGGAGTTGACTTGACACCTCCATAGATTCTCTTGAATGGTCTTATTATTTCTGGTTTCCCACATGTTCTGGATGTATTATCTATTGCAGGATTCTTGGAGGAGGTTGCTATATTCCTAGAGAACTTTGCTACAATATAAAGAAAGTAACCACACTTGAGATATTATATTGGTACTAGACCTAATTAAGCTAAAACTCACCAGTTTTTCAATATTTCCTTAATATTTGATTTTTAATTAGGGAAAGAACAGAAAATGTATGCAGGAATCTTGTAGCAGAATTGAGATTCTATTAGTAAGGCTAGGCCATAGATATCAGTTGGGCTTGTATTTGCTTATCTCCCTCTTTCCAATGTAGCAAGCTCCTACCCAAACTCCTTGACTCTGTGGCTGGTTTGGTAAAGGATTTTCCCACATTTGTATCTTGGGAACTTCCATCTGCTTCATTTGGACCCAGAGCCAGAGATAACTCAGGAATTCATGGCCATCATGGGAACCGTGGACCTGATCTAACTTTTCAAAGATCCAACTCACTGTGGAGATCACACATTAGATCTGATCTTTGTCTAATGGCAGTGGTATTGTGATCTGGGTTGGAAAACATTAACATCAGCCCTTTGCCATGGAGAGATAACTCCTTTTTGACTCCACGTTAATCCCCCACTAGAGGGAGGTAGGGCTTATTAGATTATCCCACCCCAGGTTCCAGAAAGATCTCGGGGGTTTTCTGGAAGCTCTGAAGCATAGTTCAGTTGAGCCATTTGTTGTAGCTTGAAATGTGGCCCTCTCTCACTCTCTCTCTCCCTTCTTTTCTTCCCTAGAATTCCTGTCAGCTTTCCTATTTACTTTTGTTGTGGGAAACTTGTGAGAAGAAAGTCAGTTGGGAAAGCCAACAGGAAGTTGCAAGTCAGCAGGCAGGTAAATGGCTGCTGCCAGGTGGGTCCAGATAGTATGTGGGCTGTGCAAGAGGTGCTGCATGGGTTAGGAAGGTTATGCACTCAAGAGGGCATCTGAGTGGGTGACATAAATTGAGAAGGGTGTCTGACAGTGAATGACATGTGGAAGGATGGAAAGGTGCAGAAGGCTATGTGGGAGCCATGGGAATGTGTAAGAGGTGCTCAGTAATTGAGGATGGTGCATGGGAAGAGGGATGGCAAAGGTGCCTTTAGTTTTTTGGGAATATGCAAAAATACTGTGCAGTCAGAGGCAGCAGATAGGGTTGGGAATTTAGATTGGGAATGGTTCTTGGGTGAGCCCAAATGGTGCTGCGTGGGTTAGGGAAGGTCTGCAGGAGAGTTTGTGGGTATATGGTAGAGGTATTGAACAGGTCAAGGAAGGCATTTGGGGGTGGTGTGGATCAGGAAGGTATGTCCGGGGGGAGTGTAGCAGATTAGGGAGGGTGTGTGGGTCTGTGTAAGACATACTGCATGGGTTGGGAAACCATGTGGGGAGGCAGTGTGGTGGCTGGCATAAGTCAGAGGAATGCGCAGAAGAGTAGCATGACCAGAAAAGGTGCACAAAGGATCATTTCTCCTTTCTTCCCTTCTTATTTTTTTCCTTTCTTCCACCGTCCTTCCTTCTTCCCTTCCAAACTCTTCCATTTCCAGCAGGCAAGTAACTAGCTGCTGCTGGATGGAGGAAAGAGCGAGACATTGCAAGACAGGCTGGGAAAGGTGTTAACAGATGTTAAAAATGAAGATTTTGTGACCACAGCAATAGCACAGTCCTGGACTTTGGATACATTCTATAATTCAGACCATTTGGAGCAACTTGGTTAATAAATTGTTGCCCTGTGATGTACCATTTTTCCTAGCTAAAGACAAGACTTTTAGTAGCATTAATTAAAGCCTTTTTATCTATAACTGTCATCTGGATTTTTTTTCAGAAGCTCTATTAGCTCTACTACAATAGATTTCAACACATTCTGGTGTATACTTGATTTGGCACAAAGAGAAATAATTTCTTCTTTCTATATTCTTAAAATATTCTTTAAAATCTTCTGCTTCACTTCTGTGGAGGACTACAGCATCAAATAATCAAAGAAAGCTTCCTTAATTGCATTCTAAGAATCATGCAGAATATTTTTTTCTCCATTCTGTAATTCATTTATTTTCTTCTTTCTTGTTTTATATGTCATCTTCTTTAATGTGTTGGTAGTAGACATCTCAAGATACTTTGTTTATTTGGTATACTTTTTGATGCTCTGCAAATGAGAAATCTTCCAGTATCATTAATGTCATTGGGCATCATGTGAGCTGTGCTCTTGAAGTAGATGGATGATACAAAATCGACAGTGATTGCCAATCTAAATTAATGCCATACTAAATTAATGTTACACTGAATATACACCGTGTTATTATTATTTATTTTACCTGTTGACAAACATGGGGGGACATCACAGAAATCCCACTTCAATTTGTTATTCACAGTGACAAAGCACCAGGGTTTGTCATCACCATCTGGATTCCTAAATGAGAGAAGTTTCAAGATTCACCTGTCAAAAGAATGGATCTTCAGAAAAGAAGTTATTAATTGAAGAAGTGATAAGCACTGGAACTGAACAATGTTCACACTGAAATATCAAGTCATTCAGAAACCAAGATTAAACATGATTAACAATGGCATCTTCTCAGTTTATTGTACTTACCTCCTAATAATATTGTGCCAATGTCTAAGCTTATTTTTTATGCTTTTATAGATGTGCTGTCAGCATTCATTCTTTAGGAAAGTATATTCGGATATCAAGAACATTACCCCAAAGTAGCAATTATTTCTATGGTGAGATCAAATATTTCTGATCTTTTTTGGTAAACAACAATGAGTTAATTGTACTGATCTATTGTACTATTATTTCATCACTGGTAACAGGAACATCCTAACCTGCATTATACTGACACAGGGGTATACAGTGTGGTATCAAGGTAGCCTCACTTGTCAACCATCAGGTTCTTTTGGCATCTCAACTGATTTTAAATAAAATTGCGAACTGGCAGGCTTAACATCCATTCTTAAATTTAAAAATGGTAACAGCTTCTAGAAAAAGGAGACAGAAAAAATGGAGAGCATTCCAAGGGACTAGGGAGAGGTAAAGAGCCTGTCATCTTATAAATCGGGTGTCAAACTGCTGGCCCGTGGGCCAGATGCATCATAGCAAAACTGTGCCTACCCCATTGCTGGCAATGGCAAAAAAGTCACGATATGTCGCGACACATCACGTGATGTTGCAAGTTTGACACCCCTGTTATACAGTAAATGAATACTTTGTGACTTGGGGTTTTTTTGGGGAGGGGGTAAGAAAGCTTATTAATGGCTGAGTTAATGATGTCCTCAGAACACAGCCAATGACTATTCATTATTTAGTAATATTTGATTTGAAATGGGGGTATAAATAACAATGATATTTGTGGAATTGTGTTTGCATGTATACATGGAATACCTGCAGAAGTTATGATCACCAAGGCCATAATAGTCAGCATGTTCCATAAATGCATTGTAACTACTGTCCAAAAGAAAATGAGAATTCCAGTGAAGGCATCTTTTTTGGAGGATTGTTTGACTAACATTTCCTCTGTATGCATGGCCATTTTCTTCAAAGCAGTCTTCAGTTCCTACAACAAGATTGTCATGTTTTGAAGATCTTTTTGTTTTATTTCGGCCTGTTCTGGCATTTTTTCCCCTCTCCATTCTTATATAAATGAATGACATTTCACAAGAATCAGCATTCCACCCAGTTTAGATTTTATCAAAAATACCTAAGTTGGATATTCTGAATCTACTGCTTACAACATGACGATGATGATCACAATGGAGCTCAAATCAGTTTTATATGTAAAAGTGTACAATACAAAGAATATTAATTAGTTCTTTGTAAATTACTAACATATAATTAGAATGATCAAAGGCTGATTTATCTACCACGACCCCTATACTAGTTATGCCATCGTTGCCAAACACAGATAATTCTCTTACCTAGTTCACAAAATTTTCCTCTGAAACCTTCAGGGCAGTTGCAGCTGAATCTGAATCTTAAACGATGCCTTTGACAGGTGCCTCCATTTTTACAAGGATTTGGTCGACAAGCTGAGGATGCTAGTATTCAAGAATTAATTAGAATATTGTATTTAAATGAGATTGGTAGCTTGTTCAAACAATTATATATATATATATTAGTCTTCCCAGTCTAATGTCTACAGGTCCATTAAAATAAATCTATGCACGCTGTCCTGAATATTGTTCGCATTTAAGAAATAAGTTAAGAAAGTGAAAAGATTTGATTTTAGAGGATAATTTAGAGAAAAACGGGCATGATTCTTCTTTGCATAATCCATAGAACGCAGCAGTAGTAGAAGTAATCCTAGAAATTAGTTACTGGTATGACAACAACAATTTGTCTCACCTTTATTACATAATGGTGGTTTATAAGGGTATCTACAACTGCATTGATAATAAGGTGCTCTTAACATAATCAGACATTCTCCTTGATTGCAGCTGATTCTTTGGCATGTATTTTTCACTGTGATATATAATAGTAAAAAGAGCAAGAAAGTTAGGTAGATTTTTCAAGTTTTGGCTATTTGCTAAAAGCAGACTTTATGTAGTACAAGGATTGACAATGGAGATACACAATTGTACTCTAATTCCTGGTGAAAGTTACAGTTACAGAGTTGTAAAACAGTAAACAATCATACAGTTCCTACTCTTTCATCACCCTGTGGATATGGAAATGCTCATGGACCTGGAGGAAAATAGCAACATTACAGTACTATAAATACCAATACACAGTTGTATTTTAAATATTTCCTATTTGTTCTACACATAAATAATATGAATTTGTATGGCTTATCTTCATATTATAAAAAAATTACCATGTAGTATTAATTATAATATATCACTAAGTTGCAACGGTGTTTGAAACAAATCACAAAATTGTTTAAAAAAGAAAATATTTTAAATTGGGAAGTCCCAGCATTCCAAGCTAGCATGGTCAAGGTCTAGAACACGGGTGTCAAACTGCCAGCTCGCGGGTTGGACGCGTCACACGGAAGCCGCACCCATCCCATTGCCGGCAATGGCAAAACTGTCCCGATACGTTTCGTGACGTCACATGACGTCGCAAGTTTGACATGTCTGGTATTGTATCTGCAATACAAGAGGCTAGAAAAGCTGGATACAGATATTCCACAGTTAATTCATTTTGTTTTTATTTATATTATTATTTAGTTATTTTTAACAGTGAAATGTTTTGCTCCTTTACAGATTAATGCTCAGACAGTCATGATAATAATAATAATAATAATGATAAAGTTGGAAGGGACCTTGAAGGTCATCTAGTCCAACCCCCTGCTCAGGCAGCAAACCCTATACCATTTCGGACAAATGGCTGTCCGGTTTCTTCTTAAAAACTTCCAGTGTTGGCGCATTCACTGCTTCTGGATCATTTACAATGATCATTTACAATTTTTTTGGCAATAAAGGTACAAAGAGTAAGGAAGGTGAGCATGGTATAAATAGGTAGGTATCATTACCTAAGCAAAAGGAACTGAAACATTTTTTATATCCCAGAACAAGATAACATTCAGAAGTGAATCAGGTAGATGCTTCCCTAATTAATTGAAATATAAGAAGGTGAAGGATGTACAACATAATCACAATTTGCAAGATTCTGTTACTATACCTAGTCTCAATAAAAGTAGTTTCAGATAAACTGAAATTGATTTCATGCTCTATCTATTTAGTGCAGACATGTCAAACTCCTGACGTCACGTGATGTTGCGTGACGTATCGGAACTTTTTCCCCATTGCTGGCAATGGGGTGGGCGCGATTTCCTCGTGATGCATCCGGCCCGCAAGCCGGCAGTTTGACACCCCTGATCTAGTGGGGCTGAGATTAGGTTGTTATACCTTCCACATGTAAATGTCCTTATCCTACTACAATTTATTCAATGGATTAATTTTGGAAAAAAAATCTGATTCTAAGCAGTCAAATGCTTTATACTTGTCAAATGTAAATAATGGAGGTAAATGTAAGTATTAAAATATGTTTAATAGTTTTGTGTTTAAAAACTGCTTAATTTAATAATGTACTCGCTGGGCATCCTTGGTTTGTACATGGTCTGACATCTTTAATAAATGTATTTATCTATTATTATATCTAAAATATATAAAGTTTAATGCCTTCATTTAGAACACAACTGATTTATATGACTGCACTGTTTTGGTACCATTCTGACTATAGTCTTTTCATGTTTTATGAATTGGTTCATAAATACATAGATACAATTAAATAAATACACAAATTCATAGGTACAATTAAATAATTTTATGAAATGCCATCCTTAATTTTCTAAAAATAAACTCACTTGATGAAACTATTACATCCTCATAATTATGTTAATATACTATATTTACTTCTTAAATCTATTTTGAGCCAATATATAGGCACTTCATTTATGGGATTAATTTCTATTTTATTTCACTAATTATCTGCAATATGTTCCATGATGTACCTATTTTTGTAACATTTAGCAAGTTCTTGAATGATCTCTGTAGTGCTTCATTATCATTTTGATTTGATTAATATTGGCTAATATTTAAGATTGCTATATTTTATAGTTATACTTCAGGTATTTGATTTAAAGCAATTCTTCATAAAATATTCAATTTTAAATATTTTCTCCTAAAGTTTACACTACTACAGCTATATGAGATTGCTATTAACTTTGTTTAACTTAAACTGAAGATATTTGGTCTAATAACTGAAGATATTCATATTTATACATTGTTCTATTGAAATATCAGAAGACTTCCATACATAAATCCTCAGCCACACCTAAAGATTGCTTGGTGCATTCATATTGCTCACCTTTTATGTAATTTATTCACTTTTTCCAAATGATTCTAAAATGTAATGAGAATTAAGTAAAATGGCCGCAATTGTTTTCTAACTACTTAGTACCGGTATATTGTTCTTGGATAATTGCAGTAAGCTCTTACATTTTCTTTCTTTTGCTTTAAACTTTGTTTATTGGTAAAATAACAGTCAGAACTGAAGCTACTATTTTATATTCTATTTTATTCTATTTCAGAACTAATTTTTTTTCTCAAGTATTCCTCCTATGTTCCATTGTTATTATACTCTATTTTCTATTCTTGTGAGTATATTTTACCTCTAGGAGATTGTTTTGGGATTTTTTTCCTTGTAATAAACTAATTTCTCTTATCATCCATGCTTGAATCTATCTCAGTTTTCAGAATTCTTGTTTGAAAGAAAATGCACATATGAATCCTTAGCATGCAAAATGAAACTATTCCATTCATGCTAGGATCATATATTTGCACTTGATTGAATTCTTCTTGTCCAGAATTTTTTTTTTTAAGACAGAAATATATTCAACAAAAATATGCATGCAATTTATTGTGTGTATTCAGGTTATAATGAATTCTTAATTCATTTAAAGTGACAAAGTAATACAGAACTTAAAATTATAGTTTTAAACTTGAAAGTCCTTGCAAATTTCCAGCTGACTTTTAAAATGGGATGTAAATAAGTCTATTTTATATTTTGTAAACTATATGATTTATAACAGTATCTACATTTTTCAGCTTTATGTAATAGTAGTGACAAGATCAAGATGTATCTTACCACGGTCACACTTTGATCCTGTGTATGGTTCAGGGCAGGTACAGATATAGCTGTTTCTGTTCCTTTTACAGATTCCATTATTCTGACATGGGTTTGTCTGGCAGGGATTTACTAGCACAGAGAAATAAATCTGAAGTTTAATTTTTTAATCTGCACCATTTTTATTGAAAGGTTTTTCAACCAGAACAGTGATGCAATGGCAGGTTTATAAAGCGGTTACAATTTTCTCAATTTTCCCCAGTTCTACATTTATCTAAAAACTGAATTCCTTTCTTTCACTTCCCATATGCTGTTTCTCCATCTTATAATAAGTATAATGAAGTACCATCATGAGTGAAGAATTCATATATCCAATCAGAGTCAAAGAAACTAAATCTGATTTCACTCCCTGCTGGCTCTATATAGTCGGTGCCGTATTCAACATCATAGTCATCAGCTGAATCTGCAGATATATCAGAACCAAAACAGACTATAACATGAATGAAAAGTAGCATTCAAAGTTGTTTAGTGTAGCAAATATATTGATCTGGCGAAATTAAACTAGACAACATTATAGAATAAGCATGGTGATCATCAACACATTCCTATTCCTTTGTGTAATGTGCTGCAAAAAACAAAACAGCATGGGGGCATAGTTTGAGTCCTTGGATATAAATATAATAAATAAATAACTTCAACCAGGAAATAACGATAATCTCTGAAGATTTTGTCTGGATCATTAATTGATCTTTAATTCATTTTACCTTCACAACAGTTTTTACAAAGAGTTGAAATCTGATGGAATGACTTAACATAGATTGCCCAGAATGTTTCATGCAGGGTAATATTTTGATTACAATCCTATTGTATATTTAGAAAAAACAATCACACAATACTGTAAAAGGCATGAGCCTAATATGCTGTTAAGGAAGTTGTATTTAACTGAATGTCATTGCAAATAGATGAAAAATCTGATATTATACAACAAGGTAAATAACAAAAACTTTAATGCACCAGTTTCCTGGGCACAAATATTCCTGGAATATTTTGTATTAATATATTGAACTGTATTTTCTTTGTTGATCAGTCTTATGTGCTCTTTGTAGTTCACATTATATTATGGACAAAATAGTAAACTGGATTGTCCAATAGAAAAAATATTCTTGATGAAGAATGTGCATGATTTTCATTTCGACTTGAGAATAGTTCTCGGTATTAAGTTCATGGGAATGTATACATCTTCTCCAACACACATCTATAGGCATTATATGCATTTGCCACTTGGCCTTTGGTACTATATCTCAGATATAAAAAAACTTGTACAGAAAAGATTCATAATCAGTGGTGTGATTCAGCCAGTTTGCACCACTTGGCAGAACCGGTAGCTAATTTTTTGTTGCCCAGGCCCAGAATGGACTTCCAGAAGCGGCATCCACATAGAGAACCAGTTGTTCACCTATTTGAATCCCACCACTGTTAATGATGACATTTCAACACATATAGAAAGTGTTTAAGATTTCTTTAAAAAAAATTAGATTAGTATATATTTTTGTAGGAATAATACATACTCTATTTTAGGAAGTAGTTGACATTCTAAACATAGTCAATGACAAATGTTCTGTTTATTGTAGCACTTCAGGCCTGTATCTCAACTTTTAATCCAAACTGGCATTGTTCAAAATCTTTTTATGAAACAGTTTATTTTTTCCCCTTGATATCTATGGACTGCTCCTATATAATACTGTGATGTGTCTGCAACATTTGTTATGGTCTTCGAGATAGGAGAAATGCCTTGTTAAAAGTAAATAGACTGCTTCAAAATCCCAATTCCATTCAGAGCGCTGCTGGAATCATTTCATTACAATCAAACTAGTACTGGATAAAGTACAGGTAATTATTCTGGTGTTAGTAGCCGTATAAGAGAAGGGACATATTCATGAACAAAGGAAACAAGTAGGAGATTCTCCTTAACTTTGATCATGGTGCCACATTTCCAGTGCACAGAAACAGATCTTTGTTCATAGCAATGGCTCTCAGGATACCCATTGACAAATAGCTTTCTGAATAGCAAAGTAAAGATGGGACACAGTTCTTTCCATAGACTTTTCACAAAAGTAGTTGATTAAGATGGGTCATCCGCTCTTTCCGGCAGGTGTCAGAGTAGTTTGTTGGAACCACTGGTGAGTTTCAAAGAGCAGGTATGGTAATGAGGGAGAGTGAAAATGCATACAGGGATACTTTTAAAAGCTCTCCCCTAGGGCTGGGCCGATGGCCTGGTGAACAATGGGTCGCCTTGAACTGCTTATCAACGGCATTATCTTAGTTTTCTCAACTCATTCATTGGATTGCTGCCTTTATCTTTGTTCTTCTTTTGCTTCTGATGAAAAACACTTTTTTGTACAATGAATGCTTTATATTCCATATTAAAATAGAAACTTCTTTTTTCTATGGACCAAAACTGGTTCCTTGACGGTAAAAAAAAAAAATTCACCTCATTTATCGTTATGTCAAGTCAAGACTTCTTTTATTCACTCATTATTTCTCAAGAGTCAAGCCTTTGCAATATGAAAGTGCTGCAGGACTGCACACCAGGCTGAGGGATAAGGAACTCATTCCAAGATAGGGCTATTGTCTCCACAGAGCAAATAAAGTTTAATGCAAGGTAATAAAAAAGGAAAGGAGTTCATATTTCAACCTGACAGTATGTGGGATTATTTTGCAAAAGTTAGAACTTCTCTGTTTATTTATTAAACTTTGTAGTAATAATGGTATCTTTGGCTTTTTATATACTTTTCCCATCTCTGTGTCAAATACTGTATAAAAGAAATAGTTTCCCCCCTTTTTCTAAATAATAGATGGAACCATCTTTATAATTTCTCAATACCCCATCATGCCCATAGATATCTTCTTATGATTATTGTTAGCTCAGTTTGTTCATTGTTCCTAATCAACTATTAGGAATCAAGTGCCATTATGTGAACCACCAAGATCTATTCAAAATATCTCTTTCAAAATAGCTTGCAAGTGTTATTTCTTTTGCTTCTGATGTTCATTTTTATATGACTATTTTTTTAGTCATTTGATTTAGACTTTTATTTTTTTTTTAAAAGCTTGCTTAGGACAATATATCTGCTATGTTTGGTCCAGTATTTATGTGGAAATAATAGAAGTCAAGTTGTTATACTGTCCTAGCCGATCTTCACCAACCACTTGGTATGTATATGATTATAAATTTGACCCTATACGTAATATCTATCTTGATTTTAAAGGATTGATCATATGCAGCATTATATACTTTTTTCAGGATTTGTCAGTATAAAAAAGTCTATATTTTTCATCTAGTATGAAAAATAAAACTAAGCTCTGTGTCAATTATTGAGGAAAATATTCTATATATTTCATGCATCTATTGTTGCAAAATCTTTGTATGGTACAACTAGTAATTTATTCATCATAACCAGTGGTGGGATTCAAATATGTGAACAACTGGTTCTCTATGTGGATGCCGCTTCCGGAAGCCCATTCTGGGCCTGGGCTACAAAAAATTAGCTACCGATTCTGCCGAATTGGTGCGAACCAGCTGAATCCAACCACTGATCATATCCATGCAATATTTTCTCCCAGAACATGTTTTGTGGCATGATGAAAATTACTTCCATGTCTATTAGAAGAGTAGCCAAACCACAGCTGACCATGCTTTCTCAGGTGCCATATGGAATAATTGCAAAAATATCTACTTGGCAGTTATAAAATTTATATCGGCTGTGAATCCAAGTGAAGATTAAGCATCAGTAGGGAGCCTGCTGGCCAAAAGACCAGAAAAATCCCAACATAGGATTTATATAATATGATTATATATACTTGCCAACTTTCCTTCTTTATTTGAGGAAAACTGTGACCTAAATATGAATCTTATGTAGGTTCAAAATGGATTTTGCCTGGTATCTTACATTTCTAGGAACAAATAACTTGAACTTCTCCAGTTATCTTTTAAAAGGCCATTTTCTAACAGAGGCAGACAAAATATTCAGTACTAATAGCTTTTGATCACAGTTTATATTTTTTGCACATCTTGTGCTGCTGTGATGGAAACTTGCTTTAAGTTCAAAACTCAAAAAAAAATCCTTCCTTTTGAAAAATAGTGAATGGTAATATATTCACATCTAACAGAGGCAAGCATTCTGACTATATGTTAATAGTCTTAGATGACAAACTATATCCTAATAATCCTAATCCTAATCTTTAGGATTTGCTAATGCTAATAGATTTCAATGATCTAACAACATTTACCTTTACCCCTCTAGGTTGGGCAATATACGGGTAGTTCTCAACTTACAGCCATTTGTTTAGTGATTGTACAAAGTTACAATGGCACAGAAACAGGTGACTTACAACCTGTTTTTGCACTTAGGAGCATTGAAGCATCCCCATGGTCACATAGTCAAAATTTGGGTGCTTGGCACGTTGCATATATTTACGATGGTTGAAGCATTCTGGGGACATATGATCATCATTTGCAACCTTCCCTGCTGGCTTCCAACATGGAATATCAATAAGGGAAGACATATTCACTTAACAGTTGCATTGATTTGCTTAACCATCATGGCAAAAAAGGTGATAAACGTGCTTTGTTTAGCAATGGAAATTTTGGTCTCAGTTGTGTTGTAAGTTGAGGACTATCTTTACTACTAAGGTTGGGTGTAATAATCAGGTATTAATAAGTCTATGAATCTGCCTGAATAGGCCCACTTCCATCCTAGGAGAAACCAAGAAGGATCACTTATATTATATAGGAATTCCATGATTTAGTTTTTTCCTGAATCCTAATTTTTTAATCATTAGAGAACAGTTACAGCAGTTACAAGGGCTACATAATCATTTACTGTATTCAAAGTTTATATCTGGCTAATAAATTAACTTACATTTCAGAGACATCATTATTTAATATATTTGATTACACATTATGATTCAAGTATTAAAGCTCTTGCTTAATCATATAAACTTTTGGTCCTGTTTATGGAATACTTCTGATGCAGAAAAGTATTTCTGCTGGCAGAATAAAGAAAAAGATACCTTCTACCCTTACCAATCTCCTTGCAAGAAGCCATAGAACAATGTGGCAAAGGGTGGCATGGAAAAACTGGATTACAAATTGACAGTTCTTGGAACTTTCAGTAAATTAAATAAAAAACTGAACAGACTTCTCAAACATTTAAAAATGTTAAATGTTAATGATACATCAACACATAACAATCCAGTTACAATATTCTTTGTATTATTTGAATCCATAAAAATAAAAAGTATGGTAACGCTTTTGTAAAGAACATACATGAAACAATAACTAACATTATTCAAAAACTAATAAAAACTTCCATATAAAAATATTTTACAACTTTTATATTACAGCCTTTTCTATCCATGGAAGTGCTCAGAAAAGATTATTTTCCCATGCACATATTTATACTTATGACTTCATAATACAGACTACCC